AGTGCTCAACAAGGAGGACCCTATAGAGGCTTACTGGATGGATTTTGTGAAGTATAAGGAGCCTGAGATGAGCGAGGCGAAATGCAGATCGGACCTGATCTGGCTGGAGAAGAAAATGGCTTATGGAATTTCAGCGGCGCCTACGAACACTCCGTAGCATAGGAGTAGGCGGAAATGTGGTATTGGTGGTATTTAGGAATCGTTATAAATTGCATCTGGTGGCTCTGCCGTCACGAGAAGTCTTCCTTACTGTTGATAAGGAGGGGCGACCGAGGGCGGAGACGACGTATAAGGGGAAGAGGGTCTACTTGTTGAGGTGGGGGGGATGGTAATATGAGATGTCGATGGTGTGGTATGTAAGGATATATGTGGAGGCTAAGGAGAACCTTATCGGAGTGCCGACGGTCAAGTGGGTTAACGTACATTGCCTTGACCCTGAGACTGGAAGGGAAGTAGGAGGAAAAGGGGGAGGACTTTTTGTGGAAAAATGAAGCTCTTGTGGTTGTAGCAGCACATATGTTCTCATTGGATCAACCGATATTGACGTTAGTTCTGCTGTATGTGTACGCAGAGTGGACGATGAGATGGTAGGAGTATTTTTCAGGTTGTTGAGAAGATCAAGCCGTGAGGAACTCCAAAGGCAGTGTGAAGAGTAACTAATAATAGTGCGTTTTTGAGTTTCACATTATGCTCTGATTCTGAGTTGAAGTTCTGTGTCGCGCGCGTCACGAAATTACATAATGTAGGGGGAGGGGGTACCGAAGTGAGCTCATGTTGGGGAGGACCAGCAGTCCTCAGGGGTAGTGGAAGTCACCGCTCGACGCTTCAGCGTTGACATGTTTTTGTTGTTGCCCTATTAGGGAGTATCGGATCGAGAAGGAGAGGTAGCAGTGATAGAGTCGGACATTAGTGTGTGAAGTCGCGTCATGCCTATGTTCCACCGAGCAGTGCTGAGAAGTGTGATGAGCGCTCCCTCCACTGTGGGACAAGTGAATTTCGCTTTCTCGTCGTGAATAACAGGCTAAAAAATCATACAAGTTGTTTTCCATTATAGCGATTCTATCGAGCTGTGGTGAGGAGTGCGAAGGGCGCTTTTTTCACTGTAGGGTGATTGCATAGTCTGTTTCCATGGTGAATTTCTGGCAGGAAACATTCGCATGGAAAAATTCACTTTGATTGTTTCCCATCTTCCTGTAGGGTTTGCTGTAGTAGTAGTAGTAGTAGTAGTAGTAGTAGTAGTAGTAGTAGTAGTAGTAGTAGTAGTAGTAGTTAATACTCAAGGAGAGTTGTTTTTTTGAATGCTACGATTATCCCCACCGTTGTGGGGCCGAGGTGGCATATTCCATGCAAGGATTAGGACGACAGAAGCGTTCATGCTTAGGGCGGTGAAATATGAGGCTCGTCTGAAGCAGTAAGATGCGTAGTAAGGATTAGTAAGGAATTCTTCTGCGTGCGTAAGATACGCTATAAACAAGCACAATATGAGGTTCATGAGTTGGGCACAGCAGCGAGTTCGGCAATATCGGCTAGCCACAGTGAGGAGTATAACGTGTGTATGAGGAGGAA